TCACGTCTTTTGTATCGGGAGGCCCGAAATTTTACGCGTACCGGGTACGTAAGCCAGACGGTTCTCACGCAGAGGTCTGTAAAGTCAAAGGTATCACGATCGACCACGCGACGAGTCTTACCATTAATTATGACTGGATACAGTCTTATGTAACGGGAAAGACCAGCGAAGCGGTCGTTTTACGCTATGACGCGATACGTCGTACTCCGTTTCACGACGTAGTGACACGCCCCGAATCAAAAACGTGTAAACCGACAGAGCTTCAAAAACGACGACGCGACGGTCGTTTCGGATCCTTGCCGTACGGCTTTATGTAGCTAATATTACCAAAAAATTGTACAAATGTATACACCATCCTGAACAATAATTCACCATGCGGCATCATGTAACTACTATTATAAAAAAAAATAATTGTATAAATGTATATACAACCCTGAACAATATTTTACCGTACAGTTTTATGTAACTAATATAACAAAAAAATGTACAAATGTATATACAACCCTGAGCAATAATAGTATCATAATAATAAACGTATTTATTTGAAAAACAAAAAAAATCTCTTTTATCGATCTATCCCCGAAGGCTCTACCAGCCTGTCCACGTTATGTTTTTTTTTCCGCGGCGCTTCGGACATGCTAGCAGTGCACGGTGGCTAGCGATATGGTTGACGCACATACAGGCCTGCGGTTAGCTCACAGGTGCACGATGAGCTCACCCGGACGAAGGGCTAGCAACGTCACCGATAAGAGCTAGCAAGCGCGCGCGACGTTACGAGTCTGACGCGTGTCGCGCGCCCGCCGCGGCCAGCCCCCGCGATGGAAGGGGGAATGTGTAAAAGCCAGCAGACTCTTTAACAGTATATTCGTAAATGCGATATCTCGTTGAACGCCAACTACATCGTTGTATTTAAGAATCCGCGCGACAGAGCACAGATACAGCATCTGGCCAGACAGGTGTTTCCTGAAAATCCGCGCTTCGTACAGGAGATCTACCGCGACCCCACGGCCCAACCGCATGGTTATCTACTACTCGATTTGAAGCAGTCGACCCCCGATAACTGCCGCTTTCGCACGTGCGTGTTTCCTTCGGACCCGTTCCACTACGTGTACGTTCCCCGAAAGAGTATAAAGGGCGGGTACACCGATCGAGACGTACCAGTCATTCGGTTGTAATGGTATCCGGCGCACGCTGCTTTATAGGGCGCAAACACGCCGCCGTGTTAAAGGCTATTTGCCATCTGGATAGCAAGCAGCGTAGCGCTTTGTTACGAGTGGCCGACTCGCGACTCGTCAACTGTATATGCGAATGTGCTTTGAATATTCTTCGCGGTAACGTGCCTCTCAAGCCGACGCAAAATCGTCGCTTACGAAAACACGCATCGCTGTTGAGACGTTTATCCAGACAGGGTTCAGCCGTCAAAACTAGAAAACGTCTTATCGTTCAGAGCGGTGGTTTTTTACCTCTTCTGCTAGCACCCATACTGGGCACCGTCATATCGAAACTCATAGGGAGCAGTGGATAGGGGTATACGCTGCGAAGAGAGAGACAGATGGAGATGGAGCATGCCAAAAAGATGGTTCTCATGCCTCAGGAGAGCGTGGAGCAGCAGCACTACCGGTCAGCGCCTCATACACCCCACCACCACCATCAGCAGCAGGAGCAGGGTGTCGACACCGTCAACACCGTGCAGACCCCCGGGACCCCCTTAAGCAGATTAGACGCATCCATGAAGGAGATCTTACACTCGCCGAATTTCATCGACGAGCGCGAAAAGTGGAAGATGTACAATCAGGTGCTGCAGCGTTATCTACACTTTATCGAGGATCTGCGAAATAACGTCGACGAGGATAGACGAGGCGATAATGATGCCAAGAAAAAAAATAATAATTTTGCGGAGGATAATGTCAAGAGCTTGACCGACGATGTCGATGACGACATCATCGCTAGCGTACCCCAAAAGTACAGAGCTAAGGCTAAGCTCTTACTAGGAAGGCTGCGCAACGCTGGTTCGCCACGCATCTCGTGGAGTAAACAGGACGTTACGCGTATCGGTGGAGTCGTCGTGCAGGACGCCAACATCGTGGATTTAATCAACGACGCTATGCGCGAGAGAAAAACAGCGAGACCGGCGGGGAGTCGC